TCTGTACTCTCTATATCTGGATTTGTTTTACCTGGAAGAAGGGAACTAGGTAACATCTCATTACTATCTTTAGCCACTTGCTGTTCATCTCTATCACGTGGGAAAGCGACATCTTGACCATTCATATCAGTGTAGGCCCTGGCTCTAACAGACGACCCACTTCTTTGCAATTCTTGGTTGATCTCAGAGCTGTAATTTCTAAAGGATTCATTTCTTCTCCTTCCTCTCATATAATTTCTTGAACCCACCGAGTTATGTTCATCAGCAAACATTCTCCTATCACCTACAGCACTCTCGAAACGTGAAAGAGCTGATGTCCGACCTTCATCAACATCTTGTCGGTTAAATCCCTGAAAATTCCCAACCGGGCTCTTTAAGTTACCATTTGGCAATTTCCCTGAAAGAGCGTTCGGTGGCAGCAGCCCTTTGGAAACCAGGTACTCAGCTGCTAACCGTCCAGCTTCCATGAAAAGGTCATTTCCATGCGAAGGCTGCTGAAACCCAAACTGCTTCGATTGACCACGCCCAAATCCACCTCGATTATAGTTTCTGTACTCCAAGTTGTGCAATCCACGACCTCTCGCTGTTCCTTCTGGTGAAACCCGCGAGGCAGTAGCCACACCACCCATCCCCATTGAACTAGACTTATACCCAGCTACCGGACTCCGATGCCTGGCGTGCATTTTTCCAAAAATTGGATCCTTTTACCTTTAAAATGTATATTTCTTTCCAAATTCCTCAAATGATCAAAAGGGGTTGAAGAATTTCTCAAGGTTTCAGTACTTCTTCACCAATTCAAGTTGTACTTATAAGGGATTCAGTTCTTCAACCAAACACAAGCTAAACAACAATTGTTGTGTCTATAACCCTTTTTCAGAAAGCTAACAAGTATATTTCCTTATTCTTGTTCCAAATTCATAGGTCACTTAAAAACCGAACTAAAACTAAATAGTCAATAAGGTCAAAGATCCAATCTTTACAGATCTGTTAAGTGGCAATCAAGAATTTAGCAGCAGCAGTGTTACCTTTAGGGAAATGAAGCAAATGGGTTTCTCTGAGTTGCAAAGCTTCAATCGTTATTGTTTAGGGTTTCAGATCCATTTCATCATCATCAAATGGTACTCCTCCTTGCAATTTCCATACGAAAATTAAGATATAAACTGATTAAATCCATTAGGGTTTATGATTTCCTTTGTTTTTTTTTTTTTTTTTTTTTTTTTTTTTTTGCAATTTCTGATCTGGTCAAAGAAATCAACTAGGTAGAGATTAGATCCAGGACACAATCATACCAAGTGACAAAGTCGATTGTCAAAAGATTAAAGAAATTGTTTACACTCTAATTAACTGTGTGCTGGAGATTTTAGATTGGACTATTGAAAGCAGAGCCAAAGGAGGATCCAATTTTATGCCTTAATGTAAAAAGAGAGGGTCGATATTATAATAGTGTCAAAGAGACGGACCGCAAGATATTGTTGTACTATCAAAAATATAGACCATATATGATTTCTTATTTTATTTTTTCACAGACAAGAAATTATTTAGGAATTTTCGTATTTTTAATGAATGATGTGTGCTAAATTTTTATAACTTTTAGGGGTCGTTTGGTATGTTGTATAAGAATAGTGCAGAATAAGGTGTATTAGTAATACATGGATTAGTAATGCATGAGTTACTAATGCAAGCATTAGTTATGCAGATATTATTTCTTATTTACTGTTTGGTGTGGTGTATTAAAATTATAATGCATTGCATAATTTTTAAGAAAAATAGTTGTTTGCAAAAATGCCCCCCATATTCTCAAGCTTTAAGGGACTTTAAGGATAATTTTGTCTTTAACCAACCTAATGCATGCATTAATAGCCTTGGTATTACTAATGCCATGGTTTTCTATGCATTACTTATACATAGGATAATACCAAGTATGATGTATAACTAATACAAGTATTAGTTATACACAGGTTGAAAAAATGTATCAAATAAGGTATTAGTAATGCATAGATCTAATGCTTGTATTATTTTTTCTAATACCTCCTACCAAACCACCCCTTACTCGCTTAGTTGACTGCTAAACTGCACTGGTAATCGATATTTAATTCACAATAGTTTTAAGATACGTGTTTATCGCGTCAACCACTAATATATAATCTCTTCATTTTAATTTATGTGAACTTATTTGATTGGGCACGAAGTTTAAGAAAAGAGAGAAGACTTTTGAATTTATGATGTAAAATGAGACATATATATTTTGTGTCGCTATAAATCATTGCATAAAGGTAAATTGTTTCCAAATAAGGAAAGTGATCATTCCTTTTGGCATTGACTAAAAAGAAAATAGGTTTACATAAATTGAAACGGATGTGATATATATATATATATNACATATTTTTAAATAATGTATTTGAGATATATATATATAAATATCAAAGAAATATGTGAAAGATCTTAAAATTGATTCAATTTAGCTGGCTTAATAAAGGAGTAATTATTTTCCACATATCCCATATGCTTATTGTGACTTCAGGTTTTGCCTCCAATTACTGAATATCATATATTTGAGTTCATGAGGTTATGGGCAATAACTTTCTTCAAAAATTTCCGGAATTCGAGCACGTGGCCCGAGGGAGGGTGAATTTAGGAATTCTTCAATTAGGGTTGGGAAATCACTTTAATAGTTAGGATATGAACTTTTGAACATGTATTGACTATTTTATATAATATTTGACTAGTTTCGAGTCGTTTGGCACCGAGTTGAAGGCTTAAAGCACAATTGTGGACCGGAAAGTAAGCGTTGAGACGAGGTAAGTCTCTTTTCTAACCTTGTAAGGGGTAATTAACCCCATAGGTGAATTGAATTAACATGGGCTTCTATTTGTGGGGGGCTAGGTACGTACGAGGTGACGAGAGTCCGTACGTAGCTACTAATTATGCTTATGTCGGGTAGTTTAGGACCCAAATCATATTATACTTGTGATGTTTGCACCCTACTTGTAATTTAAGTGCCTAAACCATATTGGAACTTGATAAAGGAATTGTAAAAGGCTGACTTTTATTTACTTGAGTTTTGGACGGGTTACTTGATTTTTTATTTCTGAGATAACGCTTCAAATTTGAACTCCCATTTCTTGAATCTTTTTCTTGAATTCCACTGAATTTACACTAAGTCGGATTCTATCTTCTTAGTAATTCAAAATTCCTTCAGCCGGCTACCGTAATCCCGTCGTCGGAAAGGAAGGGCGATACCAAATCTCCGCCAAAAAATAGAGAATTACACATGTGCATTTGATAGATTGAGAAGGAGCAGCCTGTAATTTTGGACCTTTTTCACGCATTTGTTTACCGTATAAAGAGATAATACTTATCAAATTAGTCTGTTGATATCTTTTCCCCGGCGTGCGTATCGGGTGCAATCGAACGTCACTGCACCACCGAATCAACCACCAGCAACATCTACTTCTGTCGCTTCCTCTTTTAAATTAGATTGCGTCGATAAGTTTCTCTTCTTCGATACCATTTGCCATTTCTCCATTTTCTTGAATACAAAGAATTTGAAGGAGAAACAGAATTTAGCGGATTGGGAAGCGCGTCCGCACATCCTCGACTGTAATCCAGGTTCTATTTTTCTTGTATTGTATTTGCACACATCTATTTACCGTTGCCTTGCCGACAATTTTTGTTTGTGTACACTTCTATTAGTTTTGGTTTCCTTGCCGGTAACCCGTAGTTGGATTAATTGTTTTGGTAGACAGCATTTGCTTGTTTTTCTATCTTTTCTACTAGTGTTTTAAGCTTAAGTTTTCATCTATACCTTTTAATTCTTTGTTTGCATATGGGTAGTTTCTTAGACATGGTATATTCACTGTTCTAGTGCATGCTCGCGTTACTGTTCTCGTAGTAGCGCCTTTGAGTTGTTTTTTGCTCTCGGGTTCCTAGGCTTGTAGTCTTTCGTTCCCGCTACTTGTTCTTAGTGACAGTGTTTACCTAATATCTTTTGCTTATAGTGGCGGTAGTGAACGATATGAGAGTAAGGTCATGTCCTCGGATGGGGTGGGGTAGGGTCCAGGGGTGGGAAGGGGGTAAGGAAGCCTCTAGGACGAGAGTTGGACCTTGGAACATTGGGACATTGACGGGGAAGTCTATAGAGTTAGTTAAGATTCTTCAGAAGAGGAATATCAACATAGCGTGTGTTTAGGAGACTAGATGGAAGGGTACTAGGGCACGAGATGTAGACGGGTTTAAATTATGGCACTCAGGAAGCGCTGGGGGTAAGAATAGGGTAGGTATTTTAGTTGACAGGGACCTTAGAGAGCTCGTGGTCGAGGTTAGTAGGGTAAATGATAGGTTGATAAGTATTAATCTTGTAGTTGGTGGGTTTACTATAAATGTGATTAGTGTATACGCTCCTCAGGTAGGTTTGAACTAGGAGGTCAAGAAGCGATTCTGGGAGGATTTGGACGAGATGGTGCGTAGTATCCCGCACACAGAGAAGCTGTTCATTGGCGGAGATTTCAATGGCCATATTGGGGCTAGTGCTAGGGGTTATGATGATGTGCATGGCGGGTTCGGTTTTGGGGATAGGAATGAGGGATTTAATTCACTGTTGGATTTTGCTAGAGCTTTTGATTTGGTTATTGCTAACTCAAGTTTTCCGAAGAGGGAAGAACACCTGGTCACTTTCCGAAATTCAATGGGCAAGACTCAGATTGCTTATCTTCTCGGCAGGAAATGCGATAAAGGTATGTGCACTGATTGCAAGGTCATCCCAAGTGAGAACCTCACGACCCTACAAAGGCTCCTAGTTATGGATCTGGAGATCAAGAAGAGTAGGAAAAAGAGGACGGTGTACAGGCAACTTGACCAAGGACAAAGCTCAGGAGTTAGGGGAGAAGTTGTTGGCTATGAGGGTCTGGATGAGTAGGGGGGACGCGTCTAGTATGTGGTTCATGACTGTGAATTGCATTAGGGTTGCTGCTAGAGAGGTCTTAGGGGTCACGAAAGGCTCTCCCGGGGGTCATAGAGGGGACTGGTGGTGGAATGGAGAGGTCCAAGGTAAAGTGAAAACTAAGAAAGCTGCTTATTTGAAGCTAGTAGAGAGTACAAACGAGGAGGAAAAATGGTCTTATCGGGAGTGTTACAGAAAGGCAAAGAAAGAGGCAAAGTTAGAAGTTACGACGGCTAAAAATGCGGCGTTTGCTTATTTGTACGAGGAGCTCGGGGGCAAAGGCGGGGACAAGAAGTTGTACCGGTTGGCCAAGGTGAGGTAGAGAAAGACCCGTGACTTAGACCAAGTCAAGTGCATCAAAGATGAGGATGGCAAAGTATTGATGGACGAGGCACTTATTAGGAGAAGATGGCAGACATACTTCCATAAACTGTTGAATGGGGAGGGGGGTAGACGTATTGTGCTGGGTGAGTTGGAGCACTCCGAGAGCCGACGGGATTTTGGGTACTGTAGGCGGATTACGGTAGAGGAAGTAGAAGGGGCGATGCGTAAGATGTGCAGGGGCAGAGTGACGGGGCCAGACGAAATCCCGGTGGAATTCTGAAAGAGCTCGGGGAGAGCAAGTTTAGAGTGGCTCACTGGGCTGTTTAATGTTATTTTTAAGACGAAGAAGATGCCTAAAGAATGGAGGTGGAGCACGATAGTTTTGCTTTACAAGAACAAGGGTGATATCTAAAATTGCAACAATTATAGGGGTATCAAGCTGTTGAGTCACACTATGAAAGTTTGGGAGAGGGTGGTGGAGGCCAGGGTGAGGAGGTGTGTGTCTATTTCCGAGAATCAGTTTGGATTCATGTCGGGGCGTTCGACTACAGAAGTGATTCATCTGGTTAGGAGATTAGTGGAGCAGTATAGGGAGAGGAAGAATGACTTGCATATAGTTTTTATTGACCTTGAGAAAGCGTACGATAAAATCCCGAGGGAGGTCCTGTGGAGGTGTTTGGAGGCTAGTGGCATTCCGGTAGCGTACATTAGGATGATTAAGGATATGTATGATGATGCTAAGACTCGGGTGAGGATTGTGGGTGGGGACTCGAAACATTTTCCTATGGTAATGGGGTTGCACCAGGGATCGACTCTTAGCCCGCTTTTATTTGCCTTAGCGATGGATGTACTGTCGCGACACATCCAAGGGGAGGTGCCTTGGTGCATGTTATTTTCCTATGATATAGTGTTGATTGACGAGACGCGAAGCGGAGTTAACGCGAGGTTGGAGGTTTGGAGATAGACCTTGGAGTCTAAAGATTTCAAATTGAGTAGAACCAAAACAGAATACTTGGAGTGCAAATTCTGTGACGGGACCCATGAAGCAGACGTAGAGGTAAAGCTTGATGCTCAAGTTATCCCCAAGAGAGCGAGTTTTAAGTATCTCGGGTCTATTATCCAAGGTAACGGGGAGATTGATGAAGATGTCGCACATCGCATCGGAGCAGGATGGATGCAGTGGAGGCTCACTTACGGTGTTTTATGTGATAAGAACGTGTCGCTAAGACTTAAGGGCAAGTTTTATAGAGTAGTGGTTCGACCGGTTATGCTATATGGAGCTGAGTGTTGGCCAGTCAAGAACTCCCACATCCAGAAGATGAAAGTAGCATAGATGAGGATGTTGAGATGGATGTGTGGGCGTACCAGGAGAGATACGATTAAGAATGAAGTTATCCGAGACAGAGTGGGAGTAGCCTCTGTGGAGGACAAGATGCGAGAGTCGAGGCTGAGATGGTTCAGACATGTTAAGAGATGAAGCATTGATTCCCCTGTTAGGAGGTGTGAGAGATTAGCCATGGCGAGTTTGAGAAGAGGTCGAGGTAGGCCTAAGAAGTACTGGGGAGAGGTGATTAGACAGGACATGGTGCTGCTTCAGCTTACTGAGGATATGACCCTTGATAGGAGGGTGTGGAGGTCAAGGATTAAAGTAGAAGGTTAGTGGGTAATTTTTAGTTGCTCACCGATAGTCTTAGTAGCACGCTTGTCCCTTCATATTCTTAGATTTTTATTACGTTATGTAGTTTTGTTCGCCTCAGGTATTGTATCTCTTGTTGCTAGTATTTGGTACTACTTATCCTTTATATCTCCCTTTTTCTTTTCTCTTCCCTCTTTCTTCCTTTCTTGCTATCCACTTCTTCTTATTACCCTTCCTGATCCGAGGGTCTATTGGAAATAACCTCTCTACCTTTTAGGTAGGGGTATGGTCTAGGGTCATAAAACAGGAATTCATGATGATTTCCAATTTTTTGTGTGCTAATATCCACGCCATCTTCATGAACTCGGGCGAAGAACTCTGAATCACCTAAAATTTTGTGGGCCCATAAACAATTACCTAATGATCAATAGTCATTGCTTCGCCATGACCGTTACTCATTTTTTGGCATTTTAGGGCCATATAACAAGAATTCAATACAATTTTTAATTTTTCGTAATGTCCATGTCATCTTCATGAATTCAGGCGACGAGCTCCGAATTGCCTAATATTCTTTGGACCCATTAGAAACGGTCTAATGAACAATAGTCATCGGTTCGCCATAATGGTTCCTTAATATTTTGCGTTTTAGGGCCGTAAAACAAAAATTCGAGACGATTTCCAATGTTTCGTGTGTTAATGTCCACGCCATCTTTATGAATTCGGGCGATGGGCTCTGAATCGCCTAAAATTTTATGGGTCCATCAGAAATGGTCTAATGAACAATAGTTATTGCTTCACCACTATTCCTCATTTTTAGCATTTTAGGGCCATAAAACAGGAATTAAGGATGATTTTTAATTTTTCGTGCGCTAATACCCACGCCATCCTCATGGATTCAGCCGACGGGCTCCAAATCGCCTAAATTTTTTAGGACCCTTCAGAAATGACTTAACGAACAATAGTCATCGCTTCGCCATGACCGTTCCTTATTTTTTGGCATATTAGGGCCATAAAATACGAATTCAGTGCGATTTCCAATGTTTCGTGTGTTAATGTCCACGCAATCTTCATGAATTCGTGCGACAGATACCGAATCGCCTAAAATTCTATAGGCCAATCACAAACAACCTAATAAATAATATTCATTAATTTTCCACGACACATCCATATTTTTTGGCATTTTAAGGGGATAAAATAGGAATTTAAGATGATTTTTAACTTTTCGTGTGCTTTAGTCCATGCCATCTTCATGAATTCAGGAGACGTGCTTCGAATCGCCTAAAATTTTGTGGGCCCATCAGAAATGACCTAATGAACAAAATTCATTATTTTTCCATGACAGTTCATCATTTTTGGCGTTTTAGGACCATAAAATAGGAATTTAGAATCATTTTCAATTTTTGAGTGCTAATGTCACGCCATCTTCATGAATTTGGGCGATGGGCCCCGAATCACCTAAAACTTTGTGAGCCCATCAAGAACCACCTAATGAAAAATAATGATTACTTCGACATGATTGTTCCTCTTTTTTTGGTGTTCTAGGGCTATAAAACAGGAATTCAAGGCGATTTCCAATTTTTAGTGTGCTAATGTCCATGCCATCTTCCTGATCGAGGGACAGGCTCTGAATTGACGAAAATTTTGTGGCCCCACAAAAATGATCTAATGAACAATAGTCATTACTTTTTCATGACCATTCCTCATTTTTTGGCATTTTAGGGCCACAAAAAAGGAATTCAGTATGAGTTTTAATTTTTCGTGTGCTAATGTCCATGACATCTTCATAAATTCGGGCGAGCTCTGAATAACCTAAAAACTTTTGGGCCCATAAAAAATGACCTAATAAATAATAATTAATATTTTGCCATGTCCATTCCTCGTTTTGGCATTTAGGGCCATAAAACAAAAATTCAAGACGATTTTCGATTTTTCGTGTGCTAATATCCACGCTATCTTCATGAATTCGGGCAACGAGTTTCGAATCACCAAAATTTTGTGGGCTCATTAGAAACGACTTAATGAGAAATACTCATTGCTTCACCATGTCCGTTCCATTTTTTTAATACTTTATGGCCATAAAACAAGATTTTAGGATAATTTCTAATTTTTCGCGTGCTAATGTCCACGCCACCTTCGTGAATTCAGGCGACATGCTCTGAATTACCTAAAATTTTGTGCACCCCTCAAAAACGACCTAATAAACAATAATCAATATTTTTCAATGACATTTCCTCATATTTTGATGTTTTAGGGTTATAAAAACAGGAATTTAGGATAATTTTTAATTTATCGTGTGCTAATGTCCATGCCATCTTCATGAATACATGCTACAGGCTTCGAATCGCCTAAAATATTGTGGGCCCATCGAAAACGACCTTACGAACAATAGTCGTTGCTTCGCCGTGACCATTCCTCATTTTTTGGCGTTTTAGGGCCATAAAACAGGAATTCAGGACAATTTCTAATTTTTCGTGTGTTAATGTCCACGCCATTTTCATGAATTTGAGCGACGGGCTCCAATTAGCCTAAAATTTTGCGGCTCCATCATAAATGATCTAATGAATAATATTCATTGCTTCGCCATGACTGTTCCTCAGGTTTTGGCATTTTAGGGCCATAAAACGGGAATTCAGGATGATTTTTAATTTTTATATGCTAATGTCTATGCCATCTTCATGAATTTGGGCGACAGGCTCCGAATCGCCTAATATTTTGTGTGGCAATCAGAAATGACCTACTGAACAATAGTCATCACTTTGGCATGATTGTTCCTCATTTTATGGCATTTTAGAGCCATAAAACAATAATTCAAGTTGATTTTTAATTTTTCGTGTGCTAATGTCTATGCCATCTTCATGAATTTGAGTGAAGGGCTTCGAATCGCCTAAAATTTTATGAGCCCATAAAAAATGACCTAATGAATTGTAACGACCCGACCGGTCGTTTTGAGCATTTGCACTTTGCTCGGTAGTTTGAGGGCATGAGTAGCTCTGTATGATGTATTACAACTATATGA